AACCCCCCCCCCCCCGTTTTTGTTTTTGTTTTTTGTTTTTTGAATTGAAGCCTGTTTTTCATCGTCGGAACCACGCTTTTTATTCTCAAAAACTTTTGACTTTTGGTTGCATGTTACATTTGGCTACTATGGATCATCTCAGCTGTAAATAGACCATGTGATGTCATTAACATGATCTTACCATGTATATCGATGCGGATGGTTCCTTTTGACTTCTCTAATCCTCAAACACCCGGTGTCTTTCTTGCTTCGTATATTCGATATCCCATTATTATCTTCTTCATGGTACGTCCTTTATTCTTTTATGCTTTCTGAAGCCTTGTTTGCTTTTGCAATGCCCTCTTACTCGATATTGAATGAAAACGTTGGTAAAGATTGCTTCATTGGTTGAGCTTTTTCTTCGGCTATATTTTTGGTACTTCCTGGTCAGTTTCTGTTGTAGGCTGTTAATATCAGGAATTGCCCTTTGTATATGGAACAAATAAAGGAGGCATCAACAATGTTGTTTGTGCATTAGATCTGGACTATGGAAGGATATTATTAGCATAGCTGCCAACTTTGCTGCATCAGATATTCAGATGTAAGTAAACAATGTTCAGAAATGCTGTAGCTTTGGCATTTGGTTGTGCTTGCACTCTCAGTGGGAAAAAGGTTTCTGCTCTCGTTTCTCGTTTGCTCTACTCTCAGATCAATCTATTTGCTGTTCCCATAATCAGATGAATTTAACTTATCACCGAGCATTATTTTTTGACCATTTTTCTTTTTCATGCTATTCTCAAGAGCAATTAGATTTTCTTCTTTGCAATTTCAATCTTTTTTTTTTTCCCTGAATTTATTTTAGGTTGGGAGGCTTCTTAGCTAGGACTTTTCCACTTGGTCAAAATCAAATGAATGCAACATTTCAATACAGAAAGACAGGGCAACATGAATGTGGGTTAAAAGGTTCACATTTTCAGTATCAGATGAGAAATACAATCCTAAAACCAGAAATTCAATGTTCACGTGATACAAGTGATCTTAAGCTTTGCATATTTTAGAACAGATATGTAAAGTTTTAGAAGGTTATCTTCCAAGTAAATTCAGAAAAGAAAGGTTTGAACGTTGAGCTTTGAAGCAACTGTTGGAAGGTATAATGTTTAGTAAATTTTATGGTTTTAAGGTTTTTCTTTGCATTATATCTGACATCTTAAACATCTGTAATGTTTTTCTTCTAAATAATTAATAATGTTTCTTACCAAGAAAGAAAAAAAAAAATCGTTGACTGTTATTATTCTTATCTTCAAATTTCAAGAGCAGTACTTTACGGTCGTACTTTGTTTTTTTGGGTTTTTTGTACAGACACTCTCTAAACTTTTTGAAATTTTCAATTTCATCCTTATTATTATTATTATTATTATTATTATTATTTTTGCAATTGACTTGTTCAACTTTAAAATTTTTACAAACAAGGATCAATCGAAAACGACGTCTATTTCTTTGACGATTTTGCTTACGTGATGCACACTTGAGCGTCTGTTGAGAACAATGAAGGTCATTTCTCACCCTTTAGTGTCTTTTGAGGGTACTTGACTCATGAAAACTAAAAATTATTTATCATAGTTGATTGTGTTTAGATATATTAGATGACTCTGACATCAATATAACTGAAATGGGGTGTGAAATTGTCTTTTGCTCCCAATAGACGCTCACGTGATCAAAATCATAAAAAAAAAAAAAAAAATCGTTTTTGATTGGTCTTTAATTGCAGAGATTTTAAAGTTGAAGGGTTTACTTGCCAAAAAAAAAAAGAATATGCACCAAATTGTCAAATTTGAAAACTTAAGGGGGTGTCAATACAAAAAAGTCTTTATGTGATGAGAAAAAGTCTAAGGATGGGACGACCAACGTTAACACACGCCCCTTGGTGTTATTAAAGGAGGCTTCTAGAAATTGACGGGAATGTCCGTTAAAAGTCCTACAAGTGGGCTCTACCCCTCGAACATGAGCTCAACCCAGCCCCACTGAATGTACAAACAGTAAGGGTAGGTATGGGTGTAGTGTCAGGCATTCTAAATCGAGTGGTAGGATGGCAAGAACCAAATGTTCACATTTAGGCTTAGTTTGGTAATGCTGTGGATTTTAGAAAAATTGCTTTTAGCTATGCTGAAGGAAGAAGCAGCTGTTAGAAGAAGCAGCTGAGTGTTTGATAAACTATAATTATAATAGCTGTGCTGGTTCTAAAATTAGTGTAATAGCGTTTGGTCAATTTTGAGGTTGAATTGCTGTGGGTATGTAAAATGACCAAAATAGACATGGTACGAAATTTAAATATATATAATTACTTTTGGTATTTAGAAATACTTGTTTAACTTTAAAAAAACATAATGCTATGATTTTGAATTTTTTAACAATAAATTTATGATAATTAATTTTTTTTTTTTCATTTCTTCATTCACAATATAATTACAACTAAAAGGAGCATAATGATAAATTGTCAATCTTGATAACGTAATCAAATACCATAATTATCAATTTTGGTAGTGTTCTTCTCACAAATCTGTAAGAAAATATGATAAATTTATTGAGAAATTTCATGCCAAGAAACGGGTTAAGCCAAATGATAATTAATTATAGGACAAAGAAATTACATCCTTATCCATTCTAAAGTGAAGGGGATTCTAAAGTGTGCATGGAGGCTTTGTTGACTAGAGTGCATCCTCCAGACTGGACAGTGACTTCCTCCTTCCTTCATACTATTGCGGCAATCATGGATCCTTCTAGGATAGTTTTCAAATGGATTCCCAGGTCGGATAATGTTTTGGCTCATGAGCTTGCTCGTAAGGCTTTGTTTCGTAATGTTGAAACTTTAAAGGAATCCGAAGTCGGTCTCATGCTTACAGAGTACTCCTGCAAATCTTCACCGGCAGGGCTGATTGGCTCTTTCTGCGTCTGAATGCCTCTTTTGCAGAACTTATATCGGCTAAGGAAGGTAGAGGCAAAAGGAGCAAATTGCCAAGAGGGTTCTGCAAACAATAACATATTGTTATTAAAAATAAGGAAATGGCAAAATATCCAAAGGGCAATAAGTAAAAGATTCATCAACTTCAATCAAGTTTTAAGCATGAAAGACATCCGCATAGAACAGAAAGTAAAGTTAGTGAACAAGGTAATTGTATTTAGTGCCAATTAATCTACAAAAAAACAGGGGGAGGGGGGGAACACCTTTGACAAACAGTGAACAGTTTATTTTTACTGCACTCTTTATGCTCTCATCCTCTTATTCGGTGCAAGATCCACAAGTTCAAAGCTCAAATAGTCATACATGTCTCAACTTGCGATAAGCACACAAGACACTCAATTTTGTGTTTCTCTGAAAGCCCACATCATACGCTTCTCATTTAACAACAGTTCCTAAAAGGTGGCCAAACTTGTTCCCTTTCCTTTAAAGATAATGAAAAATGGGAAGTAATTATATCTTTTTCTACCATTTTCCACTCCAAGCATCTTCCATGCATACAATTTCCTTGATTCTTTAGCGAGCTCAACCATACATGATAACAACCACCTTTATCATCTAAACATAAACCATCTCCAATAAAAACTATCAAAATTAAGTATTGAACAGAAAACGATGCCCAAAATAATCTAAAACTCAAAATAGCACCAACCCCGGAAACTGCTTCTCTAAATGCAGCCACTAATCTAAACTGATAAAAGAAAGAGTACAACACATTCAATTTTGTGTTATCTGAATGCCCATATCATATTCTTCTTTCTTGAATTGTTCAAAAAAATAATAATAAACATGTAAAAGAGTTATAATAATAATACTAATAATCACCTACAAACGTATTTATTTCTACTATTTTCCAATTCAAGTATCTTCCGTCCTACCAAGCTCAACCAGTTATCATCAAAAGAAAACCCAACAGCAACAAAAAAATAAAAACAAAAAACAAACCCATTGAGTATTTTAATTTTAAATAAACATTCACTAAAACCATCAAATTCGACACTGAACTAACTGTCAACAGTAATGAAAAATCTAAACTCAAAGAGCAAGAAATAAAAGTCCCAGTGAAATTTCCAACAAAAGAAAAAAAAAATTAAAAATTGATGGGACCCAAATGGAAAATCACAATTGAAACAAATAGGGATTGAAGAAATCACCTTGGAATGACTTTTTGAGAGGCTTCCTTGCAGTTGAAAGCAAAATGAAAGTGAAGTTTTTGTTGGTGAGAGAAATGGGCGTGGGGCTTTTGGGTGCATAAGAGAGTAAACCCACCATAGCCATGGAGTTCCTTCTAGTAAACTTGTGAATAAAAGGTGAAAACGAAGATGGAGCACAATAACTTGCTATGGCTTTTCTTTTGTACTGTTGAGCAACCGAACGAAGCAGCTAAGACGTGATAGAGTGAAGTGAAGGGGTCAAAAACATTTTGGATTCCGATTGCAAGAAATTGGGGACAAAACTGGCAAAGCAATCTCAACCTAAAAAGTTGATTTGTCTACTTTGGGGGTAAAGGCAACAGGAGAGGGCCCATAAATGCACTTCTAATAGTATTTTCTCTACCAAGAAATCTGACAAAATCCCAATTACCAAAAAAAAATCTAAACATGAAAAACAGAGAAACAACATTAAATTCAGAAAATATACACACACACACACACAATTTTATCAAGATGAGTTCGAGTACTTACAGAGGCAATATATATGACGAGGTAGATAACGGCGCGCAGTCGGAGGAGGAGACCCAGCGAACAGGGAGACTGGCAACCTACAATCACATAGAGGAGAAATCAAACGAGCACAGATAGGCGAACGGGGAGAGAGATTAGCGGAGAACGACAAGAGAGAAGAGAGAACAGAGACAGAGATAACG